AGCGGATAATTTATTTTTAATAATTTGGTTATAAAGCGAGACAGACATCAGAGATAGATAATCATCTATTGTTTCTGTATAAAATGCTTCCGCTCGGGGTTCTGGTTAGCATTTGCCATCCTTGCTAGTCTGGGTTGAGTGTGAGCAGCAGGACTTCCCACGACACCTCGCACGGAGCTGGATGCGTGACACGAGGAGAACGAGCCTGTGGCACCTCGCCTCGCCCACATCTGTCTCCAAGCACGAATTCTGCCCCAATGGCAGCAAAAGGCTGCTCGTTCAAGCCTTCGGAGAGCCGCCTCTGCAGAGTCGCAGGTTGAATGGGCTCAGACCTGCGCGGGAATCCGGTAAATCGCTGTGGATGGCCAGGGGACTGGGGAACACTAGTGATTAAATTACGATTAAACTGCCACAGCTGTGCACTCTGGATGGAGCTCAACCACTCGGTTGTACAAAAGGAAAGATTACATTAATTAAATTTGGTCAAATTAATGAATAGGGAAAAGCTTTACGTGCTAACAGCCCTCTCTTTCTTATTTTACCTGTATGCATGCAAATTAAATTAGTGAAAACTAAACACCTGTCCATCCACTAGTTAAAGAAGCCACGAGTCCATTTTAGATAGCAGAGGTGGACTCAGGAAGGATTGGGCACAGAGTTTACCCTGGACAAGATACCAAACACCAGCCCAAAACCCAGGACACACACACAGTCTCAATCTCATGCCATTTAGAACCTTCAAACATGTTATCTACCCAAGGGCTGAAAGAGGAAGACTACATACCCAAGGGATTACTAGAGATTAAATCAGGGAACACAAGCGGTCCTCCAAGCACAGAAAGAGCTGGATTCAAACATACAAACATGACAGACAACAATGCCGCTGAGCTGACATTTTATTTAACAATGTTTTATTATGTCTAACATCTTGTCTATAAACCACTAACTTTGTGATCGCTTATCCAGGTCTGGGCCATGCATGGGACTAAAGACTGGGGGACACCCTGGATGGGATGCCAGTCAACCACAGGGCACACACAGTCAAACACTATGACAGTGTAACAACCAATGCATCTACATTGTGTGTTTTTTTAACTATTTCAGGTCAAAAACAGGGAGGACATTCAAGCTACACACACACAGAGAAGAGGTAGGATTCGGACCCACAACCCTGGATGTGTGAGTCACCTCCAGCTCATGAACAGGTAAAGTCCTGAGCTGTGTAGGTCACTGTGAATAAGAGCAGCTGGTAAGGTGAGTGTGGGGGATAATAAAGATGGCAGAAATCTGTTTGGTAGAACCTGGGGGCTGTGAGCAGTCTGCGGAAAAGGTTCCTTAGCTCACGCTCGCACAATGACATGCAGACTCTGTTGAGTGGACCAGCCAAGGCCACTGCACAGTGGGAACAGCAGCGAGCTCCATCCAGCCCGCCAGCCCCCCCACACACGTGCCCGCTGGGGTTGCGAACACTGCCGTGACGTGTCACCATCTGTGCACCACTCTGCAATCTTCCAAACCTCACCCAGACCTCCACAGTTCCCCCTGCAGGTGCTCCTCATCTTTAACAAGGCACCACAGGGGTTCCAACTCAAGGGCTGCCTGTAGAATATTTTATATACTTGTGAAACATCCAACTTCTAACACCTTTCTGAAAATCTGTAAAACAGCAGCAGCAATAATTGATATAAAAAATGCTAATTGATGACAAGACACTTTTTTTTGATTTTGTGTAAGTTTCTGCAAGGTTTCACAATGAATCTTCGAAACCGGTCATTATTTGCTAAAGATAAAATACTGTCTTGTGCAGCCCTGGGCAGCACAGTACAGAAAAATTGGCTCAATGAGAAGAAAAGCAGGAAATATCGGGTGTCCAAGTCGACCGAGAGATTAGGCAGGATTACCGAGGCTGTGTTCAGTCTGATGAAAAAAACCTTTTCAAAGTGACTGAAGGAAATGAGGTGAAAATATCAATGGATGAACTTCACAGAGCAATCAAGGCTATGCACAGGAACACAGATATGGCAGAGAGCACACGGCAGAGAGCACGGGTAGCACACTACCACCACCACATCCACCATCATGCAGATGCCAGCAGTACCCCAATCACAGTGAAGACTGACAGGCTGCTAAATTTCCAGGAGTAATGATTGACGAATGTGGCAGAGGAATCACAGAACGCCCAGAACTCCAGCACCGTTGATAACAACTAAGGCACATGCGGCAACTGCAGCAGAGACAAAACCGTACCAGTGAATGCGTCACGACCCTCGCCACAATTCAAAATGTACCTACTTTGGCAGGGCTAACTTGTCAAAGTCATTACAGTAGAGTCCTGCGGAGATGATGAGTCAAGGAGGCACTGGGACAGATGCAAGAATTATATTTGCATCCAGGGGTGTGGCTTCAGATGCTCTGACAGGTTATTATGTCTGATACCGCTGCCGTGTGACTTCCTGCCAGCACAGCTGATGGAAAGAATATGACTGGAGTATAGTGGAACTCATGAGATTTCTGCATAAAGAGCATCAGAAGAGGGGACAGAGTGACTTAATTAACAAAAATTAAGCAGCTCAAACAAACGGAGAGCCAGTCAGCCAAAACTAGGTTTGTCTCACGGAAAGGAAATCATGAAGAATGAACACGGCACCTGCAACGGCGCCGTGAGCAGCTGGGTCATGCTCCTCAGCAGGCCATCTGTGACCATATGCATGCAAGACAAGAAAGATAAAGAAAAATGGATGATGTGTGCCAGGAAGTGAATACGGGGGCAAAAGCCACACGCTCAACGCATGAATCCTCCCAACCCCAAACACCTGCTCGTTTCCTCTCTATGAAATTAATCACCCATCTACTACCTTAAGAGAAGTATCAGCCTGTTAGCATGGCGAGTGGTCAGTTCTGGTTAAAATTCTGTCAAACTAACACAGCCCCCTTCCCCCATCAGCTTAAATATCTCCTCAGGGTTAGCTGAAGATCAGATGGGTGGAATGGGTGAGAGGAGTGTTGTAGGAGAGATGTTTGTGTTTGAGCGGTTTTAGGGTATTTTCCCACACATATAATTCGGTTTCTCAGATGCAAATCAGTTGATGGGTTTGTGAATTTGTGGTGTTTTCCACTGGGTTCAGTTTGCTTTCACACAGAGGAAAATTCAAGCAAAACAATGCACCACTACAAACTAGGGCTGCCACTAACGCCTATTTTTCTATGGATTAATGTATCGACAATTTTATCGATTTGTCCATTAATCTAAATGATTCATTTTCCTCCAGAAAATCAAACAGACTGTTAATTTCACTTAATTTTATTTTGACAACAATAAAACTGTATATTATTGCGGGACTTTAGATAACCGACACTGGCTTTTCCGCACTATACGGACATTATTTTCGCCCACAATTTGATAAGCAAATTAGTAGTATGCCTAAATATTTATCAGATGCGTATCGTGACGCCCAAAAGTTAGTAATCTGTATAAAATCGGCATATCTTTATGGTTATTAAACTCAGTTGGAGGAGTCCTGCAAGTTACTGTTTTGGTAAATCACCGGAGCGATAAGCACTGAAGTGGCGGTAAATAAAGGGACAGCTTAGCAACTACATCTTTTAAAAGAGATATTGTGGATAAACGAGGCAAAAAGATGATGGCGGTGTGGCGCTACTTTTGGAGATTCTAAGGTAGCAGTCAGACAACTTTATGGCTTTAATAATGAGTGTATTTAGCAGCTACAAGGGAAAAAAACATTTAAAAGCTCTCCGTAGTAATGGTAATTTAATAAACATGAATAGACAACACTTACGGTGGTTTTGCTTATTCTGGCGGTCCAGAAGAGCACCTGTACGTGCGTTTTCTCTTCATGCGCTCGTGCATAGCGCTAGTACCTAGTGATGGGTGGTTCTTGAACGATTCGTTCATTTTGAACGAATCTTTAATGTGACTCGGGAAGAACGAGTCGTCTCGTGGGAGTGATTCGTTCAGTCGCGGATGCGCATTTGCGCAACTTCCTATAGTTTCTGTATTGGAATTATTGATTCACCTGTTTCCAGTCTTCGGTTTTTCAAGTCTCTTGTTCATCACGTGACAGCCCCATAAGCTTAACCTAGTATGCAGTCTGAGCCGGAAACAGAATTGATTAGTTCATCTCTCGAGTCTTCGGGTTTGAGTCGTTCGTTCATCACGTGACAGCCCCATAACCTTAACCTTTGCAGTCTGAGCCGGAAACAGAATTGATTAGTTCATCTCTCCAGTCTTTCGAGTCGTTCATTCTTTTGTCACGTGACCACTTACCGGCTCAGTACCTCAGTCAAATACTAACGTAAAATTCCATTTGTTGTATGTTGTATCATATTTAGAAATTATCATAAAATTATCAAAAATATCTAAAACGCATTTTCTTATAAATAAAAAAGGTCTGTCAATTTCTGTCACTATGATTTTGTTACTGTTTCTTGAGGATCTGTGGTGTGTTATTTTATAAATAAATAAAGTGAATCATAGACAAGACCCAGGTAAACAATGAATTAATATTTTCTGTTTCTTATAGCATTATAGTTTTGTCTTGTTTGTAGTGTGATCAACATTTGTATAAGCAGTTGATGTGTTAGGGAGGTAACAGGTAACATTTTAATTATATTTTGCTAAAATGAACGAAATGACTCGAAAAAAGATTCGTTCATTTTGCTGAACGAGACTCAAAGGTCCGAGTCGGTAAAATGATCCGAACTTCCCATCACTACTAGTACCCCTGTAGTATGTTGTTGAACACTCCACAGTGTAAAACCACCTTTTTGTTTTGTGATAACTGGAACTATTCCCATAATTATATGGTGATATTATTTGTTATAATGAACTGAAGGGTTTTATAAATCATAATGGTAATTTCAATAAAATAACAGAAAAACGATGCATCAATTTAAAATATTGACGTCGACATCATCGACCACGTCGACTAATCGCAGCAGCCCTACTACAAACCACGTGAGAATGTTCATTCTGCTTATTGGTCAGATGTACCTGTGGCCAGAGCAAGAAAGCAAACACAAGAAGAAGGTACTGTGTTCTGGGATATGCAGTTGAACATCTCTCAGTTTTATATATTCTTGCCTCGGGTTTTTAAACATTTTTTTTATTCATTTTCACGCAGCACTGTTAAGTCGACCAATCAAGTCCTCTGTCGTTCAGCCATTGTCTGAACATTTTGAAAACTTCTGAGTTTTTATGAATTGTTTTGAGGAGCTGACAGATGCAGTCGTTGGCCCAGATTTCAAGGAGACAACGTACCTCGCTGCTTGACCAAGTAAGACCTCTGTTCATTTCCCCTTCTCTGTCTAGCTGCTGCTATTGATTTGCATGCTCTGCCTCATCCCTGAATGCAAAGCACACCTGATTGAGCTGATATTCACCACCGATAATTCCTTTTAAAATGGTGACCAGTACTGCTTTGCACACCTACATACCAGTTAGACAAATGTCTGCTGTGTGAAATTGTCAGTGTTAGCGAAAATGATGTTAGAGATGCATTTTGCAAACATTGCTCTACTAAAATTGCATGAATGGGATCTACTAATAATAAACTTTTCAACACAACCAATTTGACTGCTCACCTTAAGGCGAGACTTTGAAGAGTATGAAGAGTTTCTGAAAAACAATTATGTTCCAGTGAAGAGGGCTGCAGTATTGCCATATACAGCTAATTCATCACTAATACAAGCATTTGACAGCAAAAGAAAATTCAGTGCAGACAGTGCAAAATTAAAAGATGTTACTTGGAAAATTATGGAGTTTATCACATTTGATCAGCCCTTCTCTGTTATAAAAATGTATAATTTTTATAACATAAGACGTATACAGTTGCAAAATAATGTCGTGGTTCTGTTGTTGTATGGCTGAATTGGTGTTTTCTTACAAAAAAATTGTGTCCCTTTTTAAACTTATTTAAGCAGAACCTCCCCAACAATCAGTATCGGTGCCATTTTTTTAAATAATCGGCTACCGGTATCGGCCATAAATTTCCTTATCAGTGTATTACTAATATTTATGATGTCAGCTATTACTTCTAAAGGAGTGTTTGCACAAAATGTTTTACCTGGGGAGGTTCTTGAAATTTCTTGGGAAAGAACAAGAACTCATTTTAAGATGGTTTCTATCTCAAGGTGTCTGAGGAAAAAATAGTATAGTCAGTTTAGACCATTCATCATTGAGGCCGACAATATCCCCTGGTTGCTCTTGCTTGGATATTATAGTTGTAGAGCTGTTGTAATGACCCAAGTATTAAGAACCTTTGTGGATCTAGCACAAACAAGAAATGGCAACAGACCTGTTGTGTCCCCAAGTGGAAAAACGGTATGAATCTTGACAACTTCCATAGCTTAGAAGAAAAGCCTTAATGTGTTGTAAAGGCTTGAGATAAATTGAAGCCAACAGGCCCACTGCCCTTAGAGGTTTCCCAATCTCACATTTTCTCTAGGTATCAATACGAACTTAAACATCTTTTTCAATTGGCCCCTGAAGGTTTCAAAAGAATGGACTTGTTTGGTCGTGGAGAACAGTGCTGCAGTCATAAGTAACAATACTGAAGGAATGTGTGCATGCTTGTAAGCAAGAATGATACAACAAACAATACAGAAGGTTGAAATTCTGTGTAAAACTTTGTGGGACACTTGCATGGTTTAAACAGACAATTATTTAGTCTGCCATAGGGCCAGATGTCGCAGGTCTCTGAGGGGTCTCGATAGAACAGGGGTCGAGATTTTGGACTGGCAGCTTTCCGGGAAAGGATAAGAACAGATACTGTACTAAGAGAATCCAATTGCCTAATGTTCTGGAGCTGATGATATAGGACATACCCAGTCTGTGCTACACTCAAAGCCAGCAGGTGCTGGAGACAGGCCTCTGGACAATTCATTCATCCATCCTCCATATTGCTTATATACAACGTTGTAGTAAGACTTGTACCTATAACAAAACACAAAGGCCGCAATCAGGAAAAGACCCTGGATGGAGTGTAAGTCTATCACAGGACATGTACTCATGATGACACATTACAGGTAATGTGGAGACGACAATTCGCCTAACAACATGATTTTAGGCTGTGGAATGAAACCCAGACTAGCTAAATGTGAACCTCACAAACCTGGAGGTGTGAGCCTACAGTGTTACTCACTGAAATACCACATTGTCCCAAGACCATTATAAGAAGCAGTATATTTTAGGAAACACAAAGAGTGGCATATTTCCTCTGACAGAGGCCAAACTGAGAGAGAAAAGGCAGTGAAACTTGGGAAAGAACAATAGCAGATTGAGCCTCAAGCAAATAGTCAGTATGATCTACCATCCTCTGATTGAGTTGATTATCACATCACAGTTAAAAAGCTAGGTGGAATCCAGGGGAATATTCCTTATTTACAGGTTTGGCGGATCATCATACCTCGGTTAACACCAAATATATTTAGGCAATAACAAAATATTAAGTATTAAGGTTTGTGTGTTCAGGTTACTATTGATCCTCATAGTGTCTTCATAGTCCTTCATGTTATGAGGGTAAAGAGGAGGGGCTTATTTTCATATTGTCACTATAAATGCGAAAGCCAGCGCTAGACTGAAACCATATTAATCGGCAGGAGAATGGGCCAGAAATGCCTTCCGGCCCTTGGCCTGTGAATATCCGCTGTGCCCAAAATTGTATTCAGACTATTAGATTACATTCTGAGGTAAACTGGAACATTCCACATTTCTATTGCTTCTCAATTCAATTCAATTAACGTTTTAAAATAAAATCTTGTGTATATTTCAAGCATATTTCCCCATCCAAAAAGCATATGAATATATTTCCATTCTCAGTACATGGACCATTGTAATTGGGCATCCTGTGAAGCCTCCTTTGAAAATGGAAGCCACATGGCCATTCTCTTAGCACCTCTGGGTTGGTAGCCTATTCCTGTATCTTTTTTAGATTACTGCGGAAACGCCTCCCAGCTTCATGGCCCAGACTCTGCCACCAGCCCCATGTGGCTCCCAGAAAAAGTAGCACAGCGCGCAGTCTCTATGCTGTTGTGTTGCTAATGAGCTAGAATGAGTGATGTTCATTGTTCCGTGTTGGAATGCAGATGAAATGATCTATGGGCCACGATTTTCCGGCAGGAGAAACTGTCTGGGGCTCGTAGTAACTAAACCAAAGTGAGAAATAAATAATTAGGATTTTAAAGGCTCCCAGTCGCCAATCCAGTTTGACTGAACGTCAAGGCCTGGCTTTTGTTTTTATAGTTTTATAGTTACCTTTTCGCTTATTAGTAACACTGGATATATTATTGATATATTACCCCCAGAGGACTAGCTAATAGGCCTGCTGTGAGGCCTGACAAAAACTTCCGTCCTATTCCAATTTGCTCTTGCTAAATAGGAAACCTGTGATAGGCACTGACTGCCTCTCATCACAGCACCAGATTCTGAGCTGTAATTTTGAGGTGAGATGAATCTCTGTTCGGTCAGAGCCTCCGTGCAGCATAAGAGCGCCTGGATCTGGGGAAGTCACCAGACACAAGCACATAAGCGCGACGATGCACCCGTCTGAATGTAGACCCGACTCGCCCACCTGCCATCAGTCACAGGCTGTGCTGCAGATTGATAACCGGTTAAACCCGTGTTTAACAAATGAGCAGAAATGGGCACAAGCACATCAAAGAGTATCTTGTTACAAATTACAAATAGTTGCTCATCAAAAAGAATAAAATAACAAAATGCCGGTGTGAGAAAATGTATTTAATTAAAATACAAGTAATTTGAAAATACAAAAATGCATGTAAAACGCTAACAGTATATGATGAATACGTGTAGCTTTACAGCCCTAGTAATGTGTAATATTTAAAAAATAGTCTTACCTTTAAATAGAATAACAATTTTCTGATTTACATGTGTTTTAGTGTTAAATGTGAAATGAAAAAATGATTTGTGTAGCATTAGTAAGGTACGGAAACCTTAACAGCGTGTACCTGCAAAAGCGGGTTGGGGTTGGGAGGGATATCGCAGTTCTGCTTTCCGGAACCGCAATATGAGATGATGTGAATGATGTGAATGTTTCTAATTTACAGCCAGTGTTTCCCACAGAATTAGTGGCAGTAGCTGACAGGATTGCCAGTCTGCGCATGCGCATGCGCATGCGCATACGCAAGGAGGCACGCATACGCAAGGAGGCACGCCCATGCTTTCTTAAATTATCATAATGCGTGAATTTCCGGCTTTGTCTTACAGTAGGGCGTCGAACATGCAAACTCAAAGAAGAACCTATTTTTTAAGATGTATGCTCAAAAAAACACACACAACTAGTGGCTGTGATGCATATAATATGCAACGTCAAGTACACCAGTCGGTTCTCCCTTTTACAAAGGCTTAGAGCAGGGTTCTTCAAATCTGATTCCAAATTCAGGCCTTGTTTTCAGTTCTCCCAGGTAGTTAGTTTAATAATTACTGCCTATGATTGGTCAGGGGCTTCACACCTGACTGACAGGTAAAGGAAGGCTGGAAAACCAGCAGGGCTCGAACCTCGAGGACCCTGATTTGAATAGCCCTGGCTTAGAGGCTGTAAAAACACCTATGTTTAGCTGATAGAAAGTAATTTTGTCCTGCAGAATTGCTTAATAAATTACGCACAAAAAAATCCCCATTGTCATTTGTTTTGTGAAAACCTGATGCACCACCAAGGACCAATGAAGACCAATCATGCAAAAAGGCTCAATAATGTAATCCAGTGGATGAAGTTTATAAGGTCCAGTCAAATCATCACTGACCAGAGATTCTACAGACAATGTGGCAGTGTGTCTAAGGCCTAAAGATGTACCAATGCTTCTACAACTTATATGACCACTACAAAATGTCCAGGGTTAAGCAGAAAACAACAGAGGTTGATCATTTGAATACTGTCATCCATTTTCATGGACATTCTTTTGCTCTTGCTTGACAGAATCAATTTGCCACATGTTTACCTTGTGTGAATTGCTAATAAAGTTAATTTGTTCCCTCGCTTGTCACTATATCGGCCAATTATTTACACTAAACAGTTCATTAAGTCTTTTGCATCTGTTTTTGTAGATTACCACAGCTACATCTTCCATTTGCTGCAGGGCCTACTGACCACACAGTAGGAGATTTGGATTTATAACAGCTGTTTGTTACATTTCTTTCGGGTTTATTATACCACCTGCATCCCCGCGAACGTGGTCTGGGGAGGGGAGAGAGTGCGCGAGAGAGTGCGCGAGAGTGTGCGCGACATGCCGGAGCACCTTGTTGGCTCAGCCGACGCAG